TTTTTTTACTCCTACAGCACACGAGATCTCCTTACATACTTTGGGCCAAAATGTGAAGTGTTCCATACAACAGGGCACTTGAGAGCAACAGGTTAGGGACATGGTATCTAAAGTCCTTAGCAAACGGCAACCCCTTAAATATTAAAGAGGTTTAATTTGCTCTCATCAAATATGTTAGTTTAAACTTCAAAGGGTTTAATCACTATGCCAAAAGCCCTTTGTATGACATGGTAAGAGAAAAGGTGTACTGTCATGAGAATTTTGGCATAAGCACTGAAGCTCATAGCTTATAATCACCAGTTGCTGAGTCCGCGCTGGTCAGTGAGAACAACCTTAACAGGAATCAAATAAAAAGCTTTAGCATACTTCTTAGAAGAGATTTTTAGCATGTGCTATCAAAGCCAAGATAAAAAGAAGGTTCATTTCATTTCTAGCCTCCATTACTTGAGTGCGAAAACAAAAATCCACAAATTTACCATGTGTTGCCACTAGTGGCACGTTTGCATTGTAAAGTAAAATTCGCTTATGCTTTCCCTTGAGTATCAATCCACACTCTAGACAGCAGAACTTTGTTCGGTCCAGAAATATAGCTTACTTCATTTCAATGTCTGTTTTAACTGTTGACACTATACACAGGGTTAACTAGTGTTTCAATTGCTTCTGAGAAACTGCAAACTACAGCTACGTAATATCAACATAGCAAACACAGCCTTCTAGTGAAGGCTCATGAAACAAACAAGACATTTTAAGCAGTTCAATGAAAGATCTAATAGTTGGGCAGTAAAAAGTTACAAACCCTTTTTGATTTTAGAAAACAGTGAAAAAAGAATAGTAGTTATGGATGTCTTATTCATTCTCAGTTTTCTAACTCTGTCTGTCCCATGAACCTGTTTAAAAGATGATAAAAAAATGTAAAATATGATGCTTGAGGGGAACACAATCAATAATGTTACTGAGGAGTGAGAATATCTTATTGATTTGACATTATGACTACATTTATTCACAAAGTGGAAAGCTTGTTTATACGATACAAAATCAGCTAGTTTAAAAAAAAAACTACTATGCAAGCCTACAAAATCCTCAGGATTCTAATAACATGCTTTTAATTTAACATAACAGGACTAAAAATCATACTGCGTATCATTACTTCAATACGTATTTTCTCAATTTGTACTGTATTCTGACAACATATCCCATATAATTAACTTTCATACCTAGTTTCCATTCAGTTGCTGCTGAGTTAGCTGTTGCTGATCAATTTCTATTTTTCCCCGGCTTTTACTCTCTCGTTCCTCGTCTTCTTCATCTCTTTCATCATTTCCACTATGATTTTTACAATAAAGTCTACAATGATGAAAGACAAAAATCTCAAAATCATCGTCATCGTTAATGAGAATACATTTATGCCACTGCTAGGGGATGCGGTTGGTACGCATTTAAAATATGGGTTTACTCATCCACACTTTAAACAATGTTACAAGTCTATTTCTATCTACAATGTACAAAAATATACTATTCTAAAGATAAAAGTTCATCTGAAATAAAAACTCTGGTTTAGAATGACAGTTATCATAAGGCAGTTCTTCATTTTGCTCAGTGGGATTAAAAGTAAAGTTTTTGACCAACTTGAAAATAACAACTTTCAGGTATATGGACAAAATAGTCAAATTCTATACATTTGTTTCATATACATAATTCAAAATCTCATTTTAGGAAATATATATTCTATAAATATACTGCTGCTCTTGACTCAAATTTCATGAAATAATTTTACTCAAACCCTTCAAATGCCTTTTTTTTTGGGGGGGGGTTAGAGACAGAGTCTCACTTTATTGCCCTCAGTAGAGTGCTGTGGCATCACAGCTCACAGCAACCTCCAACTCCTGGGCTTAGGCAATTCTCTTGCCTCAGCCTCCCGAGTAGCTAGGACTACAGGCGCCCACCACAACACCCAGCTATTTTTTTTGTTGTTGCAATTTGGCCAGGGCCAGGTTTGAACCCACCACCCTCGGTATATGGGGCTGGTGCCCTACTCACTGAGCCACAGGCGCTGCCCTCAAATGCCTTTTTTTTGAGACAGAGTGTCACTATGTCGCCCTGGGTAGAGTGCCATGGTGTCACAGCTTATAGCAACCTCAAATTCTTGGGCTTAAGTGATTCTCCTGCCTTTCTCTCCGAAGTAGCTGGAACTACAGGCACCCACCACAACGCCTGGCTATTTTTTGGTTGTTGTTGTAGATGTCATTGTTGTTTGGCTGGCCCAGGCTGGATTCAAACCTGCCAGTTCTGGTGTATGTGGCTGGCGCTCTAGCGGCTGATCTATAGGCGCTGAACCCCCTTCAAATGCCTTTTCACCATTAGTGTCCTGGCTTTCACTAGAATACATTTCATGAGTCATTCAACTGTTTTCTGGTGCTGTAGTTGGCTATGTCTCTCTTAAGCTAGACTGGTCCCTCCAACTTTTCTCATGTCATTAACTTTTTTGAATGTGATCAGATAGTTTGCCAACTGTAGCACATTCTCTATTTGTCTCATTATACTATTTTACTTGTTTTTCTCACACCCTGTATTTCCTATAAACTGGAAATAAGGCCTAAGGCAGTGGTTCTCAACCTTCCTAATGCCACAATGTATTTTCATTTTTAAACAGGGGTTGCGACCCACAGGTTGCGAACCGCTGGTCTAAGGGCTTGGTTAGCTTCAGGTTCAACTTGTATTTTCTTAGTCAAGATGCTTTTCAGGTGATCATGCATACTTTAGGAAGCATACAATTTCAAACTCCCTGTTATTTATTGGTGATGCTATGATTGATCATTTGGTTAAGATGGCAGTGACAGCCAGATTTTACTAATGTTGAGGTAAGTTTTCCCTTCAAACTAGATAGTAAACTCTGGAATGATAACACTGATATTATGCTGTTTCAACAACCTTTCATTTGGGTATATACACTATTTTAAATTCATTGAGTTCTTAATAAAAATATTAAGGTAGGTGATTTTAGACAATTAAAGAAGGGTGGGCTGATCTGAGATCAGTTTTAGGTAAATTATACACAAGACGATAATGAAACAATGCTTAGAAAATATTCCTTGGACGCCCTCTTGTGGTCAACAACGGGTAAAGACAATCATAAAATTGGAATTTTCCATGTCACAAATAGATGACCTAAACTAGGTCTAACATTTGAATAGAATAAAAGGTTGGGGAGGGGCTGGGGGCACTACAACAGACAACAGTAATAACTGACTTCAATCTAGTTAGTTTTGATCATATTTCTTTTTAGTTTTAGAAC